AAGTTAATAATATAATAACAGGTCTGGCCGAATCTAGGGATAACTTTTTCTCCAATTCGAACCAGACCTTCTCTCTTTTCTCTCTTCTTCTTTCCTCTCTTACTTCTACTTCTTGCTGTTCACTTTACTTTACAGTCAACGAACAAGACAGAATTCTAGGGCAGGTCAAACTTCAACACTACCAAAAAAAAATAAAAAAGAACCAGTATTGTAACTGGTCACAGGTCTGAACGCCCAGGTACAGGTTGAAAACACTGCTTAAAACTTAAACTGTAGGGATAGCCAAAAGTTCATTATATCAAACAGCTCCAACTTGTCCCGGATTGGTATGCAATGTAAACATTTCATTCATATAAAGCATAGATTATCAAAAAACCATGACAGAGATACAAATGTTGGCATACAAGATAAAACTCTACGTTGCTCGTCATTTTCCTCGAGATACATAAAAATATAATAAATGGAATATTCTAAAAAGATGGTTTAGAGCATGCAATTCTTAATGTAGAAGTTCTTTTAATTAGGGAAATGAGTATCACACAACAGAGATTAAAGCCTTACCGGTAAATCATATGAGAGGACAATATTGTTGCTTTCCATGCTGAAACAAATGGAACAAACCAAGTCAAGTACTTCCAAAACAGACATTAGTAGCACTGCAATAACAGAAAGCATCATCTGTTTAATGAAAAGTGTACCTGAGAACTGATAATTTCTTCCCCAGGAAAGCTAGAAGTGATAATCTACCAGAAGAAGGGGACAAATGCAAATCTTTCACAGCTCTGGTGCTGGGAGGAAGCTGTATATCTTCATTTTCATGTGGATACATCAGACTAATCTATAAAAATTGAGATTTTCAACCCAGTCATTCTAGAAGTATCATAGCGAAGTTCAAAAAACAATCAAAGAGATTACATTGTTGTTAAATCAATATATTAGGTTGCCATTAAAAAACAGTACTTTTGTGAGCACATGTGCTCCACCCATTCCAGAAAGCCTCCGTGCAAGAATCAAAATTTGGCTAGAAGTATCAATATCAAAAATCCGCGCACCAGCGAGACCCAATTCTTCCTGCAGAGACTAAAACTCTTAGAAGCAATATATTTGCAATGACTAAAATTGATAAGGTCAAATATTCAGTTTTTTTATCAATAATTGGTTATGTTTTTTGGACACGAAATATGTGCAACAATGATATAAAAGTTGTATGTGTGTGTGATCGGACATAAAAAAGTAAACAACAGATGTGCCCTTGATTATGAAAGAGAAGCGATATGAGAAGAAGAAAGAAAGAACTAAGGCTGAAAACAGAGGAAATCAAACTCAACTGTCAACCTCTAACTGCCACCCTCTTTTATTAATATTATATTAAATTGCAAAATTACAGATGTTCCCTTGATTAACAATGAGAAAACTTTGGTTCTTGTATTTCAGAAATTATACTTCAGGTTCAACTTCAGACCATTGATCTTTCTCATAGAGGAGTTATTCAGCTTGATACCTGAAAACTTTGGTTTGCTCCAATACCCCTTGGCCTGGTTCTGTGGTTCAAGGCTGATTTGAGGTTCAGTTTATTTCTTGGATGCAGTACTCCATTTCGCACCTATATTTAGAGATTCCATTTTCCCCACGATATGATTTTCTTTCCACTCCTCTTATCTTCCTCTCATTATTCTCTCTTTTCTGCTCTCTTCTTGTTTTAACACCAGAATTTATTTATTTCTTTAATTTTTGTTTTTGAATTGTTCAACAAGAGTACTTTATATTTCAATTTTTAAGTTCCTCTAGTAACAAGCATCTATATATAATGATTAAAAAACAAGTATCTATGTATATAACAAATAACCAATGCATCACCTTTAATACAAAGTGGCAAAGTGGAGACCCCCATTGTCCAATATTTGAGGAAAGAGACTGTCCTGAAAAAATATTTTGCAAGAATTGCATTAGCACTAGTTTAAAATAAATGTTGACAGTTATGGACTCTCAATATAACACCACCAACCAAATTGTACTATCCAACATCGTATGCAAAAGTCTTAGGTTTTATCAATTGAAATATTGTACACACCAAGTGCATTTTTTTTATAAGTAAACAAAGAATTTATTAAAAAGCAAAGAGAATAGGCATTACAAGCATCCCACAGGGAGGCAAGAAGTGTTACCTCTCACTTAAACTTTATAGAAGATAGAATCAAAACAATTACAACTGTGCCCAATACAAACTGTCCCTATTAACCCCTTTTTTAGCTAATCCATCTGCCATAGCATTAGCTGTTCTCCTAATCCAAGAGATTTTCAGGTTCATGTTTCTGGTTATCCATTCAAACTTTTTCATTACATCCCTAAAACACCATATTATAGACCCCAGATCCTTGAGCCACCCTATCACCAGTTCTGAGTTTCCTTCAATCTCCACATTTGTTACGCCCATCTCATTTGCAATCCAAAGCCCTCTCATAGACACAAGCAGCTCCACCCTGATGGAATCCCCAACGCAAGCAGTCAAGATTGCCTTGACTACTCCCATCAAAATTTAGTTTCACAAAGTCTGCAACTGGGGATTTCCATAACATCTTTTCCTTTTCTTTTCTGGAAGAACTTCTGGACACTACAGCCCAATTTCTCCAAATGTCATCAAAGGACCAAGAGAAAAAAGAATCCAGGGTCCGCGGCCAAGGTATCACGACTATCACCCTTACCAAAATACAGTCACTTGCCACTTCTATGCATCTCTCCTTTCCTGAGAAAATTCTGTTATTTCTTTGTTTTTTTTTTTTTTGAAAGGTAAGGTAAAATTTTATTTCATAGAAAAAACACAAGGTACAACAGATTCCAAGACAATAGAAAGACTAGTCCAGAATCAAAGATAGATTACAGACTCCAAATGGACTGAGATCTGAACAACTCAGGCACATTCATGTGCTTAAATTCATAAGTTATAGACACCCAGGAGATCAGATTGCTGACCGCCTGCTGCACTACCTCATCAGAGCTCTTTGGCTTGTTACAAAAGACAATTGTTTCTTTCTGACCACAGGGACCAAAGAATAGCTGCAGGAATTGTTTTCCCGACTAATTTTCCTTTTTTCTTCAAGCATGAAAGTTTCCAGCTAAACAGGAGGTTTTTGACTGATCTCGACATGACCCAGCAAACTCCAGCAGATTTAAGAAAATGCTCCCACACTCTTGAAGAGACCAAGCAATGGATGCTTAGGTGATCTGTAGATTCAGGCAACAGTCCACATAGCCCACAAGAGAGGTTTGAGAGCTGCAGACTCCTCTCCAAGCTGACTTTAGAAAGCTATTTGTTAAGCACCATAGTCCACACCAGGAAATTGGATTTGGAAGGAGAAACTGCATTCCTGATTTGTTTACAGGGAAAATTAACAAGCCCTGTGCTGCCAAGCTTAGAGGTCAAGGACTTGACTGAGAAGTAGTCATCCCTACTCCATTTCCAGATCCACTTGTCTTCACTAATTACATCAATACTCTGACCCTGTAATAGTTCCAGCAGATCCAACACCCCATTTACCTCCCAATCAGACAGGGCTCTTCTAAACTGGGGATTCCAAGTCACTGTGCTGTTGGAGAAGACATAGGACTCAGCCACTGAAACATAAACACCAGGGATCCCTCCAAAATTTTACTCTGACACCTCTGCCCACCTTGAACCTCACACCTTCCAAGAAAACAGGTTGGCTTTTTATGTCTTTCCAAACTCAACAGTCCCAACTTGAGAGAGGGTCTTGAGGTTTCCAATTACCCCAGTCCACCCCATACTTGGAGGCAATTAAGTTTCACCACCAGGAGTTTCTTTCAGCAGCAAATCTCCAGCACCACTTACTGAGCAAAGCAGAATTTATCACCTTCAGCTTCCTAATACCTAGACCCCCTTCCTCTCTAGGTAAGCATACTTTATCCCAGTTGACAAGATAAATTTTCTTCTCTTCTTCCCAATCCCTCCAAAGAAAGTTCCTCTGCAGCCTTTCAATTTTTTTGGCAACTTTGGCTGGGATAGGAAAGAGGGACAGGAAATAGGTGGGGAGGTTGGACAGAGTGCTCTTGATGAGGGCCACTCTACCCCCAGCTGAAAGGTATTTAGCCTTCCAAGAAGATAACTTTGTCTCTAATTTCTCAATGACTGGATCCCATATAGCAGAAGAGGAGCACTTTGCCTCAAGAGGAAGCCCCAAGTACTTCGCAGGGAAGAAATCCACCTGGCAATCCAAAACCCTTGCACACTCCTCCAAATTTGAGACATGCCCTACCGGAATGATTTTACTTTAATGCAGATTAACTTTAAGGCTTGACACCACCTCAAACCAATAAAGGATCCCTAATAAGATTTCCAACTGATCTGTTAAGGCATCTAGGAAACAGAGTGTGTCATCAGCAAACTGCAGGATGTTAACTTTTTTTCTTGAGGAGCAATTGCAAAGCCTTCCCAAAGCCCATTCTCTGCAGCCTTTAGGGAGAACTGAGAAAGAATCTCCATTAGGCAAATAAAGAGAAGGGGGGAGAGGGGATCTCCCTGTCTCAGGCCTCTAGAGCTTTCAAAGAACCCCGTAGATTGACCATTTATTAGCACTGAGAACTTAGGGGAGGAAGCACACACTTCGATCCAATTTCTTCATTTCTGACCAAACTTCATTTTCTCCAGCACCAAATCCAAACATCTCTAATTTATGTGATCATAGGCTTTTTCAATGTCTAGTTTACACACCAGTCCAGGTGTCCCCTCCCTTTGTCTCGAGTCAATGAGCTCATTTGCCACAGGAACTGAATCAAGCATTTGTCTCCCCAGGACAAAAGCACACTGATTGCTTGAGATCACACTACTCGGCACCACTTTCATTCTTTCAGCCAACACTTACCAGAATTGTGTAGAAATTGTTCAGGAGATTAATAGGTCTGAAGTCCCTAAGGTTTGTGGCCCCCTCAATCTTCAGAATCAGTGTCACAAAAGTGGCATTAAGGCTTCTTTGCAAGGAAGCATTACTGAGAAAATCCTGAAAGATCTTCAGAAGATCTCGTTTAATAACACCCAAGCATTTGATGTAGAAGAGATTAGATAGACCATCCGGTCCAGGGATTTCTCTCCATCCATCTTAAGGATTGCTGCCTTGATTTCCTCTTCGGTAAAAGGTCTCTCAAGAAACAGAGATTTTTCACGACTTAGCTGCTTGAAAGGAAGGTCCAAAGGGAAAGGTCTTCTGACCCATTTTCCTTTACAAAGGTTTTTATAGAAAGAAGTAGCTAGCACTTTTATTTCAGTCATTGACTCCCCCACCCTTCCATCCCATTCCAACTTGCTAATTGAGGAAGCCATTATCCTTGCATTAGCCATTTTGTGAAAGAAGCATGTGTTTTTATCACCCAACCTCAACCAAGCCACTTTTTCTCTGTCTCCATTTGATTTCTTCCTTTTCTGCCAACTTATCATAATTAGCCTTTGCCTGGATTCTTTTTTGTCTCAAATCTGCCTAGATTGGACTTACCTCTTCAGCCCTATCTATTTCTTCAATAACATTCAGACAATCTTTTTTCTCAGTTTCGACCCCAAGACTATTTTCAAGCTTCCAGAATTTGACCTTTTCTTTAATTTCCCCCATTTTCTTTGCAAGGATGTAAGAACTAGTACCCTCTACCTGCATCCCACTCCAAACTGAATTCAGCAAAGAAATAAAATTTTCTTCTTCAAACCAAGCATTCTCAAATTTGAAGGGAGTCTTGGTTTTCTCCCAAAACGATTCATCCCAGTTTGAAGAAACTAGGAATCGATTCGACCTTAGGGGACTCCGGGTTGTTTGTCCATGTGTATTGAGCTCCTACAAGAGGAAATTATTTATGAATTCAGCAAACAGGTTCATCACCCATGTTCTTCTACCTCTTGAGTTTTTTTCCCTTAGTGGATAAAATAGCATTGAAGTCACCCCCAATAACCCACAGGTAAGTGAAGGTAACTCTCTTATCAGCCAATTCCTCCCAAAAGGAATTCTGCAAGCTAGCAATTATTGGACCATACACATTCATTATTTTACACCGCTTCCCATCCAAAAGTTCCAAAATCACTGAGACTGAGAACTGCCCAATTCTGTGGGAGAGGATTTTACAACCCACAGGATTCCAAAGAGTTAACAGACCCCCAGCACTGCCTGCAGCGTGCTTAGCCCTCCACTTAACTTGACCTTCCCCCCAAATACCCTGAACAACACCCGCATCCATTTTTTCCAGCTTAGTTTCTTGCAACAAAACGATTTGAGAGTTTGATCTTTTAAAAGCATCACACACCACCAGCCTTCTTCTTCCCGACCCTAAACCCCTAACATTCCAAGATAAAATTTTTAGATCCACTAAGACTAAAGAAAAGAAAGGGTAAACACTTTGTTTTGCTCATAATTCACAAAAAAAATAAAAATAAAAATAAAAATAACTTGAGTAGAATTAGGGTTTCCCTATTCAGGGTATATAAGTATGCACTATGTCTGCAAAAACCCCTTAACTATATTCCTTAGAGGAAATACCCTTTGATTTTGATTTTATGTGAAAGAGTTACTTTGTAAGGGTTAAACCCAATAACAGGTATAAGCAGGTCCATCAGCTTGGACTCTTAATGGGTTATACCCATTAGTGGGCCCCACAATTGGTGGAACGTCATGGGACCCACCCACTATTGGGTACTTATCCATTATGCTGATTTAATGGTGGGCATGGCCCATTTAAGTATTTCACAATGGGTCATATTGACAAGTGGCACCTACTATACTGATTTAATAGTGGGCATGACCAACTTTGATATTTTAAATTTAAATATTTTAATAGTAGGGTCCACTAAAAAGTGGAACCCATTATACTGATTTAATAGTGGGCATGGCCCATTTTAATATTTTAACAGTGGGCCTGCTAATAAATGGGA